ATATATTTATAATAATGGGCTTGGTGAGATTTTTAAATTGTTCTGAAAGAAGTCTCATGCTCACCATAAGGCTACATTAATTTGATGGGGGGAAAAAGCATCAATATTGTAAAATATTATTACAAATTAAAATAACTGCTTTCTATTCTAATATATTTTAGAATGTAATTTATTCGTGTGATGGCAAAGCTGAATTTTCAGCATCATTACTCCAGTCTTCAGTGTCACATGGTCCTTCAGAAATCACTACCTGTATTATGTACAGTATTTGAATAACTCTTATAATATCTAAAAATCTGAATTTTTATGACAGCCAACATTTAAGTGATTGTATCTCCACATTGTTTTGAAATGGAAAATGAGTTTCCAGGTCAAAGCAACTCAACAGCAGGTCACATGGTACTGACTGTTGTACCGCTGGATCTGTTTCAGGACCTGTATTCTGTTCCTCGAACTATTCTACCTCATGGAGCGTCTTTCCACGGCCATCCTGTTACACTTCACATCACATACGAATCTACCAAAGACACATTCACCTTGGAGGTAACGTCACACACACACTCTTCTTGGAGACAAAACCCATTTAGTTCTGGCACTCACGACACAAATGCACACACTTATGACAGACTGTAAGCAGGGTTGATATAAATGGAATTTGGTAAACATTTCCCCAATTTGGAGAATAGAGAAACATTGATAGATGGCAGGTGAACGTTCAGTGTGAGAAACCGAATGTGATATTCACAAACAACGGTCTGTTGGGTGATCGTTCATTCTGTAGACTCAACTGACTGGTATTTGCTTTGCCTAATTTGAATAGATGGATCAATACAGCCCTTATGTGTTTGTGTTCATGTGAATGTGTGCAGGCCCACAGCAACGAGACCATAGGCAGCATCAGATGGAAGATCGCCGAGCAGCTCAGCTGTCCGGTGGACAATGTGCAGATATTTGCCAATGACAGCATGGTGAGTCAAACACTAAATGTGATGTGTTGCAGTCATATCTGAGCAGTGCACAGGAGCCAGACACTCCTACAGCACTGTGAGAGAATGTGGCAGCTATTATGACCGCTTGTCGAGCCTTTGTTCTCGGACCGTTTTCTAGTTATAGTTAACAATATACATTGTTTATTTGTATTGATTATTGTGTTAGTGTTAATTTTGTACAATTTAAGTTTTTATTAATATTTCGAATGTTTTTATTTTTAGATTTTCAGTTTTCATTTAAATATTTCTAAATAGTTTTAATGTTTTTTATTTCAGTTTTAATTTTATTACAGTTAGTAATTTTAGTGCTTCAACTTAACTCTTTCCCCGCCATTGACGAGTTATCTCGTCTTTTAGAAGACAACGCTTCCCCGCCAAAGACGAGTTTTTACGGCTTTTCTTGTTTTCACTGTTATACA